GAATTCCCATTCTTCATAATGTTATCCATAATTTGTTATGATCCACACAGTCAAATACCTTTGCACAGGTAAAACACAGGTAACATCTTTCTGGTATTCTCTGCTTTCAGCCATGATCCATCTGACATCAGCAATGAAATCCCTTGTTCCACATCGTCTTCTGAATCCAGCTTGAATTTCTGGCAGATCCCTGTTGATGTTCTGTTTCAACTGCTTTTCAATGATCTTCAGCAAAATTTTATTTGTGTGTGATATTAATGATATTGTTAGATAATTTCCTCATTCTTTTGGATCTCCTTTCTTTGGAATGGGTACAAATATGGATCTCTTCCATTTGGTTGGCCAGGTAGCTGTCTTCCAAATTTCTAGGCATAGATGAGTGAGCGCTTCCGGCACTGCATCCGTTTGTTGAAACATTTCAATTAGTATTCTGTCAATTCCTGGAGCCTTGTTTATACATTCCATTTCATTTCTGACAATTTCCAATTTTCCTAGATTCATACTTCATACATTCCACATTCCGATTATTAGTGGATGTTTGTAGTTGTTTCTTCTCATTTTGAGTCATGCCACATCAGGAAATGAAGATCCGGAAAGCTTGACTCCATCCACATCAGTCAGATCGACTCTACTTTGAGAGAGAAGAGTTCTTGGTCATATTTTGAGTGCCTTCCAACCTGAGGGGCTCATCTGCTGCTGCTGTTCATAAGGTTTTCACTGGCTAATTTTTTTCAGAAGTAGACTGCCAGGTCCTTCTTTGTCTGGAAGGTCCACTGAAACCTATCCACCAAGGGTGACCCTGCTGGTATTTGAAATACCAGTGGCAAAGCTTACAGTATCACAGCAACATGCAAGCCACCACAGTACGACAAACTGACAGACACATGGTGGATAGTATTAGGTAGGAAATATTAAAAGCCATAAGAGGAGTGTTGGAGTTTAGAGGTTTTGGTGGGTGTGATCAAGGAAGTATTTATGGAAGATACAGCATTGGAAAGGGTCTTTTCAGTGATACTTAGTCTGGAAATATGAGTTGGAAGTGAAAGACATTCTCATGGAGAGAACTACATGAGTAAAGACAAAGTTGGGAAAACCTAAAGTATATTCAGAATTGAGACTGGCTTGGTCTACAGGATGCTTGAAGTGCGGAGCTTGGTTAATAAGTTGGAAATGAGTATTCAGGCCAAATCACCAGGGTCCTTGAATGTTAGACTAAAGAGCTATTTCTTTGCTCTCCTGTCAGTAGAAGTAATCTTGCAAAAGTTGTGTGTAGCCAGTATCTCCAATTCCTCCTCATCCCATTCTTCTTTAACCCCACTGCAGTCAGGCTTTCACCCCCAGAACTCCATGGAAACTGCTCTTGTCAAGCACACCAGTATACTCTATGTTGCTAAATGCAGTGGTCAGTTTTGAGTCTTCGCCTTACTTAACCTGCAAGCAGCATTTGACAGTTGGTCACATCCCCTGAATACACTTTCTTCAGGGTATTTCTTGGCCTCTAGGAGACCTCACTCCTGAGTTTCCTCCTAATCTCAATGTTTATTCCTTCTCAACCTCCTTTGCCATTTCTCCGCCCCAGTGACCCAATAGTTAAACACTCGGCTGCTAACTGAAAGATTGGCTGCCAAGTCTCCTCCCACAAAGATCACAGTCTAGGAAATCCTATGGGGAAGTTCTACTCTGTTGCTATGAGTGGGAATCTACTCAATGGCAAACAACAACAATCTTTTAATGTTAGAATACCCCAGGGCCTAATCTTTGATCTTGCTCTTCTCTATCTAAACTCACTTTCTCTTCCGTGATAATCTTCATCCAGTTGCATCATGGCATATATCATCTATATGCCAAACTCCCAGATTTTTATCTCCAGTCCAGGCTTCCTTCTCAAACTCCAGATTGTTCTCGACATAGCCACTTAAGTATCAAATAGACTTCTCACACCCATCGTATCTAAAATTGAAATTGAACTTCTGATTTCCACCCACCCTCACACACACCCTATACTGGGTTGGATAGTATCCCTCCAAAATTCATGTCCATCCTGGAACCTCAGAATGTGACCTTATTTTGTAATAGTGTCATTTCAGATATAATTAGTTAACAAAGTCATACTGGAAAAAGATGGGCCTTTAATCTAATACGACTGGTGTCCTTATAAAAAAGAGCAGACGCAGAGACAGATGGACACAGAGGGAAGACAGCCATGTGAAGATGGAGGCAGAGATTGGAGTTACGCTGCCGCAAGCCAAGGAATGCCTGGGGCTACCAGAACCTTGAAGAGGCAAGGAAGGATCCTCCCCTAGAGGCTTCAGAGGGAGCATGGCCCTGCCAACACCTTAATTTTTGGACTTCCAGCCTCCAGAACTGTGAGAGAATAAATTTCTGTTGTTTTAAACCACACAGTTTATGGTACTTTGTTATGACAGCCTTAGGAAACCAAATAAATAAGTAAAACAAATAAATAGATAAATAAGTAACCCTGACCCAAATCTTGTGGTTTAATGCAATATAAGGTTTATTTTCCCTTCACATTGCAGTCCAATTGGCTGTTAGCAGGTGTACTTCCAGTCAGGGATTCAAGCTATCCATCTAGTGGCTCCACCATTTTCTAGGCCTTAGTGTCCACTGGATCTTCTGCATCCAGAGATGTGGAAAGAAAGAATGGAAACTCTCTTCTAAGAGATCTTGGAGGCCAGGCCTCCACTCACCACGCTCAGTCACATGTCCCAGTCGACTCTGGAGGAGCCTGGGAAATGTTGGAAAGCAGGGGGCCCAGGAGGAAGAGGAACAACATGAATATTGTTGGACCACATGAAGGTTGTTTGTTTGTTTTTTCCTTTCTAAGCTCTTTCTCTCCTGTACGTAATAATCTTTTCCTTTAAATTCTAGCCGAATTTGCGTTTAGTCTGACCTATGTTCTCTCCAACTTCATTCACTCAACAAATGTTTATTAAGTACAGTATTTATCAAGCACTGTGAATACAAGCACCTCACATTCTAACAAGGAGGCAAATGAGAATTCAAATTTTCAACGCAAAGAGACAAGTGCTATATTAATTATATACCAGCAGTAGGGGCACAAAGGTAGGTTAATTCTGCTCAGGTAGTCAGGGAAGATTTTGCAGAGGAGATGGCATTTGACCTGTGTCTTGATTAACAGGAGTTCACCAGGCTAAGGAGTGGGGTTAGGAGTGAAGATGGAGGGGGTTCTCTTTTCCAGGTATTTCAGGAAGAAAGAAGAGCATTAGCAAAGGCGGGATAGAATGAAGGTACTCGGCATCTTTGGGGAGCTCCAAGCCATTGAAAAGGTGGCACAGCAGTTTGTGATCAGCTGCTAACCTAAAGGCTGACTGTTCAAACCCACCCAGTGGCACCACAGAGGAAGGCCTGGCAAACTGCTTCCGTGAAGATTACAGCCAAGAAACCCTATGGAGCAGTTCTACTCTGACACAAGGGGTCACCATAAATTGGAATTGACTTGATGGCACCAGGGTTTTTTCAAGTTTTAACGGGCAACTTTTTTTTCCTCCAAGTCATTGAGTGTAGCTGAAACTTGTATAGAAGAGACTATCTAAAGCTAAGTTGAAGGGATGAGGCTAGGTGAATTTGTGAAACTCCTTATTTTCCATACCAAAGAATGGGAGTGAAGGGGATGAATTGAGACATTTTGGCCTCAGAATCAAGGAGGGTTGGAGAGTGAGGCAAGGAAGGATGAGGGAAAGCGAAAAGCTAAGGATGACTGCATCAAAATGCTGCAGAGCAGAAGTTTGCACTGTCCTGCAGTTTTTTCACCTGCATGTCTTACCTCCTCAACCAGCTGGAAGTCCCTAGCGTAGGGCCAAGAGAGTATAATATTGTTTTTAAAGTCAATGCAGGGCCTTGTTCAGGACAGCACAGAAGCAGCCCTGAAAAAATGCTCATTTTAAAAGACAGCCATCTTGGAACTTGGAGTGTACAAGAAGCCATCATTTAGCTGAGTGTTTCATAACCTTTACCAATAGATTTTCATTTGCTTTCACTTATCAAAAATAATTTAGAATTGTAAGAAGTGCTGTTGTTATTAAAGAAGAGGCCCAAGAAGACACAAATGCTTGAGGCGCCAAGAACTTGCTGAGGAGGCAGGAAAAGACATTCTTAATTGGCTGCATTTCATTTGTGGGCCTGGCAATTTGATGTATCAGAAGTTTTAAGACAATTGCTAAACCCCAGGGAATTGTCCTAGAATAAAAGAAAATTATCCCCGTGTAGTTCATAATGCAGAGGCAAACTCCACACTTGCTTGTCACGTCTGAGTTTTCAAGAAATGTGTAATATTGCAAAGCCCATGATAGAACGAAAGGATGGACTCTTCAGTGGTTTTATTCTGATTTTCCTTTTAGGATTTGCTATCATATTGTCTGTTTCCTCCTGTACCACCTGATTTCCTCTCTATTAGCAGTAATTAAAATCTCTGCTGACAGATTTGGTAAGACTGCCTTCCTTAGCCTGTTGTTCCTTTCTTCTCACTCCTCCACCAGTTGACATCCAAATTCATTACATCCTCCACAGCTAGTTCTTTGAACTACCTCTATGTTTTTTGAAAATTTCCCTCTATTTGAAAGATAAGATCCAGAGACATATAAGGTACCACTATGACATGAATTTATTGCCTCTCCTACCCCAGCTAATCGCATTTTGTTACAGATTAAATTTTAAATAATTTTCTTCCAACTTTGAGTAAAAAGAAGAGGAAACACTGTCCAGCTACAAATGAGAGGACGTTTGGGGAAAGGTTTCCATTGGTGCAGGATTATTTAGCAAATGCATTAGGCTGGTGAAAGACCTGAGAAATGGTGCCTCCTTTCACTCTTTCTTTTCCACTTGGTGTGTAAGGCCTCCAAACCCAATGCCTGTAGGGCCAAAATTTTTGGCATAGCAAACTGTGAAGGAGAAGGGGATGGGGGGAGAGAGAATAGGCTCGTTAGTGTCATTATTTGAGATCCTTCTGTCTGGGCGCAGCCCTTTTATCTGTTAAAGGCATCCTTTTGATAAAGTTATGCATAAATTAACTTTTCAATAAATTTATATTTTAAATCTGCTAATAAAAATTGTTTATAGTTCTTAGCACTTTACTAAGTGTGTTCAGACATTTTGTCATTTGAGTTGGCATAATCTGGCCCCTGACTGCTGACCCAGGTTCATCTACTGCTTCCTGCCGTCCTCCCTGCACCAGGCACACAGAACTACTTGCAGTTCCTGGGAAGAACTATGATGCCCAAGCTTTGATGTCTTTGCACTCATGGCTCTCTGCTCCTGGAATGCCCCCTCACAAGCTCACATTCACCCTGGAAGACCCAGAGGAAGTATCTCTTCTAAGCTGATGTGTCTTCATTGTATGCTTCTGCATTGGGTAATTTCCTCTGCTATATAGCTTTTCTCATTTTGAAATCCATTATCTGTTTCCATGTTGCTTTCCTTGCTGGCTACACAACATTTTAGGGTTTTACGGCCTATGAATGCTGAGGCCTCTGTATTGTATTCTACTGCCAGGTGAAGGCAACACCTGTTTCATCCCTTTCTCATTGTGGGAAAAGTTTTGGCAACCTATAATCTTGATTAATAACGTGCTCCCTCTGACCCTCCCATCCCATTGTAACAAACATTTGAAGATCTTGAGACACCATCACCAAGTGAAAGGGTGGAAGAATCCCACTGAGCAATAGAATAGACCTAGGAGAGGCTCCAAGGTAGAGGAAATGTGGCCTTGGCTGCAGTGCATGCCTGCCTTTTGGTAGTGGCAGGAAGGAGCTAAGCCTCTACTACCTCTCCAGAAGACAAAGGAATTGTGGAAGCAGATAGGAGCAGAGCTGTGAGGACCAGCTTGTCAGTTAGGTCCCTGTGATCATTAAGTGATGCCCAACATCAGAAACAGAAGTAGAAGGAAGGGAGGGAGAGAGGGAGGAAGAATAAACTTGATAAACTCAAATGAGACCAAACTGAGTTCATCCTGGTAAACCCTATCTGCCACCCAGGTAGATGGAAGATATTTGGGTTTTTGAAAGGGACTGTGATGCTGTTTGTCCATGCTTGAGGCCTCTTCTAGGGCCAGAGTCAGGACATGCTTCTTCCTCTTCCTCTCTCCCTACAGGCATCCAGCTTCCCTGGACCACAGAGTATCTCCCAACATCTGATCCTCCAAGGTGCTCCAAAGGAGAGAACCAGAGCTGAGTAAGGCAGGAATTTGTTTTTTTCCCTTCAATGGTTTTGCTTCCCATCCTGACAGCCCAAGACCTGCCCAGGCTTTGCAGTCATATGTCCTGGCAGACACCAAGCAAGTCTCTAGACATGGAGACAACTTTCCTTCCCAAGGGCCCTCCTCAGGAAAACATATCTTGAGAAGCTCTGGCACCAACACTCACCTTTGCAATAAAGTTCCCCGTCTTTGTCAGTGACGTTCGTGGACTCCAAACTCTTCCCACAGATGGCACAGCGGAAACAGGTCTTGTGCCAAGGCTGAGGGGCACAGGAAAGTTACATATTTAACGGGGTCAATAACGTATTCTATTTCCATTTTAAGTCCCCTGACCAGCAGATATGAAGGAAAGCCACTGTCTTCACCATTCACTTACCTAAATCAATTCCTGGAATACTTTTTTCTAGGGTTCTGAAGAAAATAAGATGCTATGGACTTGGCCATCAATTCTCAGAACCCCTTAAAAATAGATTTACGCTCATTATTTCCATATGTATTCCTTTAAAACAGACTAAATAAGAATGGATGTCTCCAAACCTAAAAGATCTGAGGAATAAACTGGACAGAAGGCTTGGGTCAGTGGGTAACATATTAAAAAAAATGAAGTAAATTGATTGCCCGGGTAATTCAACCTTGTTTTAATTCTCTGTGTATTTCTGATGGAAGTGAATTTTATGGCTTGGATCATCTGAAAGATTGCCTTCCTTCTGTACATCTGTGTGTCTACCAGCTACAGCTTTGGGATTACCATTTGTCTTCCAATGGTTGGTCTCGGGGTTGAGGCTGCCCTTATATGTGAAGTCAGACACTCTCCATGGTTTTTCCTCCCCCAATTTTTCTCTTTCCTAGAACCCTAATCCTTTGGTGAATACCCTAGTTTCAGGCCTGAGAACAGAGCTGGTAGAGCAAGTCTAAGTCACTGTCTCTGATATTTGATGATTCTCGAGACAGCTGGGACATTTGTCAGTGAGGATGCTTCTCATTGTGGTGAGGTGTTTATAATATTCATCGGTTTTGATGCCAGCAGCAAGTTTAACCATGCAGTGGTGAACAACTTCCTGGAAGGGCAGGGGTACTTGTGCACCTTTGTATTACCCAGGGAGCCCTGGTGGCACAGTGGTTAAGAGCTCGGCTGCTAACCCAAAGGTTGGCAGTTTGCATCCACCAGCTGCTCCTTGGAAACCCTATGGGGGCAGTTCTACTTTGTCCTATAGAGTCGCTATGAGTTGGAACCTACTCGATGGCAACGGATTTGGTTTTGGTTTTTGGTATTACCCAGACCTTTTGTCTGGGTGCCTTCCACCTTGGAGGTTAATGCTTGTTGCATTGAATTGCAGTGGTTCTAGCTTTTCCAAGGGTGCTGCAGGATGACTGCCACAGACCAGGAAAATGGGAAAGAATGTGTTTTCTAAGTGGTTCTCAGAGAGCTAAGGAGAATGAGGGGTCTGGGGCCCATCCATCCACAGTTCCTAATTTCTTCTTTTAGTGCCTCACAACTGATTGGGTGGAGATGAGCAAATCCCATTTGGCTCATATGCAAGTCCTTACCTTGCCACCTCCCATGACCTTCTCAGCAGCATAGACTGACTTCCCACATCGAGGGCACTTCTCTGACTCCCCAAACTTTGCAGTGAACTTAGAAGGGTTGCTGGTGGTGGCTGAGCGTGCTGCCTTTGGGGACCTGGTAGAAATAGACAGATGAACAAAACTATAAACCCCTTTTGGCAAAGAGTGCTAGCTGAGTGATCTTGAGCAAGCTACTTAACTTCTCTGTGCCTCAGTTTCTTCATTTGGAAAACAGAGATAATCATGTTGCATTCCATGTAGAGTTGAGAGGGTTAAATGAGGTGCCATATGTAAAACTTAGAACAGTGCCTGCTGCTATGTAGTAAGGGCTTAACATGTTAATATAATTGGTTTAAATCTTTCTTTTCTTTTGTAAACCACTTAGGAAGTACTCCCTACATGATCGCTTATATTTGTGTTATGTTATTAGAGCTGTGACTGTTGGTTAGGTTTTCCTATACCATCTTGAAACCCACTGGCTTGCTTTCTGAAGTGAGTTGTGAAAATGATTTTATAGGGCAAGAATGGCCTGATAATGGAATCTTGACAGTTGGTACTAATCAGCTTCTGACAAACCACAGTCTGATGAGCTGAGGCATTTGTTGTCACAATTCAGGTTGTTGTCCTATACACGAAGGTCACCTGTCTCCATGAGAGCACTGTCCAAAATAGAGGCAACAATAAAAACCCTTTGTGCTTCTATGCCTTTTGATGTTTCCTTGTACATTCCATCACTTGAGCCTCACCATAACCCTGTGAACTAGGCAGGGGTAGTTTGAGGAAAGAATGGGTCAGAGAGGTCATTGCCTAAGGCCAGGTAGCTCATGACTGTTGGAGCAGATTTGAAAACCTTAGTCTTTAGACTCTTGTTACCCTTTCCACAGTATCACAAGAAAGTCCTAACATAGAAAAGTGAGCTTTGGGTGATGGGAGGCCAAGAATGCAGTCAGTATCATCTTTTCTTCTTTAAGCAATCTCCAGCTGGGACTGAGTGATGAGAAAAGTTAATGAAAAGAAATTGCACATCTCTCCTTTTTTTTTCCAGGCTGAACCATGGATAGAGAGTCCCTAGTGGTGCAAACAGTTAGCACTTGGCTACTAACCTAAAGGTTGGTGGTTCTAATCCACCCAGAGGACCCTCAGAAGAAAGGCTGGGTGATCTACTTCTGCAAGATCACAGTAATTGAAAACCCTATGGACACATTTCTACTCTGACATACATGGGGTTGCCATGAGTCAGAGCTGACTCAATGGCAATGGGTGTGGTTTTTCAGGACCATGGATAGATGTGGGATCAGACCGTCTCACAGCCGTCTGGGGAGTCCCTCCAAGGGACACTTCCTCAGGTCGCCTGGGCCTTTCCAGCCAGTCTCACCAAACAGCTTTCTTCTCTTAGGAGCTGAGCCCAGATACCAGGTGGCCATAGCAGCTACAGGCCAGTGGCAGTCAGACTATCATTAGCTCTGGGCTGAAGGTTGGTGAGATCATCAAGAAAGTAGAACCTGGGTCTGGTAGATGGAGGTGGCACAGTGTGATATCCCAGCTTCCCTGGGATAATGCTGGTGCTGGGGGGAACCTCAGCACTGTATCAGCAACGGGCAGCCAGGGAGACCCACAGCACAATCAAATGGATCATAATTGATTGTTCATTCCTGAGGCACAGCCCTTCCCCTCAGACCCACCCACCCTGCACTGTGGACATGAGTCATCCTACAACCCAAGGGAAGAAATCTTTTAGTGACAAGGACACAGAGAATGGCCATTGCTTCCCTGCCATATTTATGTGATTTACACAGAAACTCTCAAAGGGGAAGAAAAGAGGCTCCATGGAGTTTTGCAAAGGTCATACAATGGAACATCTGTACATTCTGGGTTTTCTCTTGACATGCAAACCAGTAGCCCTGGTGTAAAAGTAATTGCCCTTTAGAAAGGCAGATAATTTAAAGACAGTCTTTGGAGAGATGACACATTGTTAAAACTTGGTCAGATTGAGTATTCCTATTGTTGGCAAATCAACAATAGAGTCCATTCTCCCACTTCCAGAACACGTTGCTATGGGAACAGAATAACGTGCCCTGATAGTTGGAGTCTCTAACTGGGAGGGCGGAAGTGGGGCAGTAACTCACTGTTGGAACTGGAGACCGAGGTGCTCGCCCGTGTCAGTGCTGAGGCAACCGGCACCTTGTCCATATCCGATCCCCTTGGGTCCGTACCTGCGCCCATAGCACACCTTACAGTAGATCTCTGACTCATGGGCTGCGACTGTGGTGCTGTCGAGAGCCTTCCTGCAGGCCACTGCCGAGGAAAGGAAGGGTCAGAGGCTTAGGGCTGAGATTTCTCCCTCCTTCTCTGTACCCCTGTGCTATGCTCAGGACCAAGAGACCCAGCACAAGGGACCCTCCATCCAAGAACACAATTATGATTACTGACTCCAACATGTCCTGAGCCAGACTCCAAGACTATTGTGATCTCACAGATGAGGAAATTGGGCCACAGAGAGGGGAAGTAATGTGTTCACTGGTACGCAGCTAGAAAGGGGTAGGGTCCAGGATTAGAACCAGGTATGAGATCTCAACCAGCTAAGAACAATACCCCTGAATTGGAACAACCTGATTCCTGAGTGTCTCCCCCCAAATGGTGTCAGGTCAAGGGAGTGTGTGCGTGTATGTGAATGTGGGGTCTAAGGCAGGAAAGGAACCTATTTCTTTTCTTAATCATGTAAGAATCAGGACTGAGTAGTTTCTGTACTTTTCATGGCCTTTGAGGAGCACTGTGCTATATTCAAGGAGACAATTGTCATAGATGCCAATTTCAGCCCAGTTCTGGAAGTAGGGGAGGGAGCGAAGGGGGAGATCTGTCTCATAGACCCTTAGGTTGTATTGGCTCAAGCCTCCTGGCTACTATGTATTACCTCATATATTCACAAATATGAGGTAATCCCCCATTTTTCCAAAAAGAGGATTTATAAAAAAAATTTTTTTACAAACTTTTAGGGATGTGAATGAAAGTGTCAAATATCTACCTATAATATTTAATTAATAATATAAATTAATAGCATGGATTTGGATTTTTTTTTTCCTACTCTCACAAAAATTCAGAAAACAATTGTATCCAAATTCTTCCTTTGCATCTTCAGCATCAGCATCCTCCTCCTCATCAAAGTCACTTTTGGAGGCAGCTAATGCAGCTTTCCAGAGCATCTCATCCTCCCACTGTCTGCGTCATTTGAGAGGCAGCCCAATTTGTATCTGAGGAGGAGGCTGTCACCTGGAAATTGCATCTCAACAAGAAGTACCTATTAGCACAACATTAAGGCAGCTTTTAAAAAATACATGATTTCTACAACTTAATAACTTTCTGTATTGCTTTGTAACAGTGATCCTTAAAGGCCATTAATGGTGATAGTGCTTATAATAGTAAGGTCATATCCCCAGGAATGATAACAAACTGGCATTAAATTTACTTACCTCCTTTTTTTTTTTTTACTACCAGCGCTATCAAGTGACCTCTATAAGCAATCCAAACCAGCAATGAATGAGGTTGTTTCAGGTTAACATATTTTCCTCAAATGGCATTTTGTTGTCAAAAAATATAGCAATTGAATACGAGAGTGGAAGAAGAAGGTAGAATTGGCCAGGAGTTGATGTTGTGGGGCTGGGAAGATAGGCATATTGGAGTTCATTAAACTATTACGTCAGTTTTTGTGTGTATTAAAAATTCTCTCTAAAAATAAAAGTTTAAATAACAAATAAAGTATTTGAGAAAATGTCATATAACATGAGAGACTTTATAAGGCCTTGGATACAAAGCAAACCCTTTTGTACAAGAGATAATTCTGGGGAGAAAAATGTGCCGTATATTTGGGCATATAAGGTATATACCTGTCTCTATCTTTCTTGTTGCTATTAGTTACTGTTATAGATTAAATTGCAGACTCCAAAAAGATATGTTAATGTCCTAACCCCTTGTACTTATAAATATGACCCTATTTGGTAAATAGAGATTTTCTTTTGTTATATTAATGAAATAGGGTAGGTCCTAAACCTAATCACTTTTGACTGGTATCTTATAAAAAGGAAAACAGCACCAAGAAACATACACACAGGAGGGAGACAGGTGCCATGTGAAGATCCATCTACAAACCAAAGAATGCCAAGGAACGCCCAGGGCTACCAACAAGGAAGGACCCTCCCCCATAGCCAATGCCCTGATTTGGAATTCTAGCTTCCAGAACTGTGAGACAATAAATTTCTGTTCTTTAAAGCCACCCACTTGTGGTATTTTTTGTTATGGCAGCACTAGGAAACTAAGGCAGTTACCAACCTCCAAGGGACAACTCCTCACATATACATTGATGGTCTAGATTCTGAGTTACTTGAGCACAAAACTGTTTACCTTAAAATCCCCAGAAGCTAGCAAAGGGCCTGGCACAGAGTTAGCCCTCTGCAAATATCTGTTGAATGAGTGCATGAAGATCAGTGACTGGTCCAAGATTACACAACACTAAGTTGCAAACCTGCGCGTGACCTCAGGTTCTTTGACTCTTGTCCAGCACTCACTCTCATCACTGCAAGATTGCCTATTCCTGATCAGGCCTTGGCCAATTCCATAGCCACTCCCCGGCTTCTGATCAACTTTTGTCACAGACAAAGTAGAATTGTGCTGTACAATATGGTAGACACCAGCCATATGATGTGCTGTAAGTGTAAAATGCATACCAGATTTTGAAGACTTAGTACAAAACAAAAAGACGGTAAAATATCTCATTAATAATTTTATATTGATTACATGTTGAAATGATAACATTGTGGTTATATTGGGTTAAATGAAATGTTTTAAAATTAATTTCACCTGTTTCTTTGTATTTTTTTTTTAAATATGGCTATTGGAAAAGTTAAATTTACATATGTGGCTTATATTTCTTTTAAACAGCACTGGTATGAAGGATTAAGCATTTGTCTAGAAGTCGGTAGAATATCAGGTAGCGGACAAGCTAAGGTAGGCCCTGCTTCGCTAAGCCCTATTTCTAGCAACTACCTGTGGACAGGTAAGTCTTGCAATGCTAATATAGGAAAGTATGCTCCTCCCCAGGGCCCTTTCGCCCACCACTACAGAAACTTCTACTGCTCAGATGAGATCCTCATCCCATATACAAGTTCTAAGGAAAATATCCAAAGGTTAAGAGGAAGCGTCACCTCCCACCAAATGCTCAAGTTCCTTCTATTATGGTTCCATTTAATAGAGCATCTTCTAGCTACCCTGAATGGGGGATGGGGTGGGGGGCAAGACATCCTTTGTCATGGAAAGCTTCCCTACCATTTCCCCTTCCAACTCAGACACCAGAGTTGATCAAAGAAGTGTAAAGGCCTAGAAGACTGGGTTCCCAGTTTGCTCCTTGTTAACAACCTTGTGCTGTAGGTATATATCTCTATTTTATACATGGGGTAATTGAGGCTTGCAGTGGTGAAATAACCTTTCCGAGGTCACACAGTAGGTACATGCCAGAGCCCAGACTCAAACCCTACTCTTCTTTAAACCAAACCCAGGACTCTTTCCAATATTCCTCACCACTACTCTTTTTAAAGAACATTAGTCTTTGTTTTTTGGTATGATGAGCAAATAATCTGAGAAGCTGGACTATATGAAGAAGAACGGGACATCAGGATTGGAGGAAGGCTCATTAATAACCTGCATTATGCAGATGACACAACCTTGCTCGCCAAAAGTGAAGAGGACTTGAAGCACTGACTGACGAAGATCAAAGACCACAGCCTTCAGTATGGATTATACCTCAACATAAGGAAGACAAAAATCCTCACAACTGGACCAGTGAGCAGCATCATGATAGACAGCAAAAAGACTGAAGTTGTCAAGATTTCATTTTACTTGGATCCACAATCAATACCCATGGAAGCAGCAGTCAAGAAATCAAAAGATGTGTTGCATTGGGCAAATCTGCTGCAAAAGACCTCTTTAAAGTGTTGAAAAGTAAAGGTGTCTGAGGTGCGCCTGACCCAAGCCATGGTGTTTTCAATTGCCTCATATGCGTGTGAAAGCTGGTTGATGAATAAAGAAGACTGAAGAAGAATTGACACCTTTGAATTGTGGTGTTGGCGAAGAATATTGAATATACCATGGACTGCCAAAAGAACGAACAGATCTGTCTTGGAAGAAGTACAACCAGAATCCTCCTTAGAAGCAAGGATGGTGAGACTACGTCTCACATACTTTGGACATGTTGTCAGGAGGGATCAGTCCCTGGAGAAGGGCATCATGCTTGGTAAAGTAGAAGGTCAGTGAAAAAGAAGAAAATCCTCAACAAGATGGACTGACACGGTGGCTATGGGCTTAAGCATCACAATGATTGTGAGGATGGTGCAGGACTGGGCAGTGTTTTATTCTGTTGTACATAGGGTTGCTATGAGTCAGAACCAACTCAGTGGCACCTAACGACAACAACAGCAGTCATTTTTTAACAAAAACCAAAGAGTTACGAAATGAACTCTCTTGACTAATAAATTCTGGATAATTGTAATAATAATGATGAATCTGAGGGATGTGTAAGATGGCTTAAAAATCATTGTTGTTGTTAGATGCTGTCGAGTCAGTTCCAACTCATAGCAACTCTATGTACAACAGAACTAAACACAGCCCATTCCTGCGCCAACCTCAAATTGTTTCTATGTTTGAGCCTGTTGTTGCAGCCGCTGTGTCAATCCCTCTCATTGAGGGTTTTGCTCTTTTTCGCTGACCCTCTACTTTACCTAGCATAATGTCCTGCTCCAGGGACTGGTCCCTCCTGAAAACATTTCCAAAGTACGTGAGAGGAAGCCTTGCCATCCTCATTTCTAAGTTGCATTCTGGCTGTACTTCTTCCAAGACAGATTTGTTTGTCCTTCTGGCCCATTAAAAAAACCAAACCTATCGCCATCGAGTCAATTCCGACTCATAGCTACCCTGTAGGACAGAGTAGAACTGCCCCATGGGGTTTCCAAGGAGTGGCTGGGGGATTCGAACTGCTGAACTTTTGGTTAGCAGCTGAGCTCTTAACCACTGTGCCACCAGGGCTCCTTCTGGCAGTCCATGGTATATTCAATATTCTTTGCCAACACCATAGTTCAAAGGCATCAATTCTTCTTCTGTCTTTCTTATTCATTGTCTAGCTTTCACATGCTTATGAGGCAATTGAAGGTACCATGGCTTGGGTCAGGCACACCTTACTCCTCAAAGTGACATTTTGCTTTTTAACACTTTAAAGAGATCTTTTGTGGCAGATTTGCCCAATAATACACGTCATTTGATTTGTTGACTGCTGTTTCCTTGGGCATTGATTGTGGATCCAAGTAAAATGAAAACCTTTACAACTTCAATATTTTCTCTGTTTATCATGATGTTGCTTATTGGTCCACTTGTGAGGATTTTTGTTTTCTTTATGTTGAGATGTAATACACACTGAAGGTTGTAGTCTTTGATTTTTATCAGTAAGTGCTTAAAATCCTCTTCACTCACTGCAGGCAAGGTTGTAACATCTGCATATTGCAGGTCATTAATGAGTCTTTCTCCAATCCTGATGCCTCGTTCTTCTTCATATAGTCCAGCTTCACGGATTATTTGCTCAGCATACAGATTGAATAGGTACTGTGAAAGGATACAACACTGACACACACATTTCCTGACTTTAAACCACGCAGTATCCCTCATTCTGTTTGAACGACTGCCTCTTGGTCTATGTACAGGTTCCACATGAGCACAATTAAGTGTTCTGGAATTCCCATTCTTCATAATGTTATCCATAATTTGTTATGATCCACACAGTCAAATGCCTTTGCACAGGTAAAACACAGGTAAACATCTTTCTGATATTCTCTGCTTTCTGCCATGATCCATGTGACATCAACAATGATATCCCTCATTCCACGCCCTCTTCTGAATCTGTCCTGAATTTCTGGCAGTTGCCTATTGATGTACTGCTGCAACCATTTTTCAATTACCTTCAGCCAGATTTTATGTGCATGTTATATTGTTCGATATTGTTCAATAATTTCCACAGTCTGTTGAATCATCTTTCTTTGGAATGGGCACAAATATGGATCTCTTCCATTCGGTTGGCCAGGTAGCTGTCTTCCAAATTTCTAGACATAGATGAGTGAGCACTTCTAGCAATGCATCCATTTGTTAAAACATCTCAACTGGTATTCTGTCAGTACCTGGAGCCTTGTTTTTTGCCAGTGCCTTCAGTGAAACTTGGACTTCTTTATTCGGTACCACCAGTTCTTGATCATATGCTACCTCCTGAAATGGTTGAACGTCGACCAGTTCTTTTTGGTACAGTGACTCTGTGTATTCTTTCCATCTTATTTTGATGCTTCCTGCATCATTCAGTATTTTGCCCATAGGATCCTTCAATACTGCAAGTTGAAGCTTGAATTATTTTCTTCAGTTTTTTCAGCTTGAGAAATGGTGAGCATGTTCTTCCCTTTTGTTTTCTAACTCCAGGTCTTTGCACATTTCATTATAATACTTTACTTTGTCTTCTCGAGCAACCCTTTGAAATCTTCTGTTCAGCTCTTATACTTCATCATTTCTTCCATTTGCTTTAGCAACTCTACGTTCAAGAGCAAGTTTCAGAGTCTCTTCTGACTTCCATTTTGGTCTTTTCTTTCTTTCTTATCTTTTTAATGACCTTTTGCTTTCTTTGTGTACGATGTCCTTGGTGTCATCCCATAACTCATCTGGTCTTCAATCATTAGTGTTCAGTGGGTCAAATCTATTCTTAAAATGGTCTCTAAATTCAGGTGGGATATACTCAAGGTTGTCTTTTGGCTCTCGTGGACTTGTTTTAATTTTCTTCAGCTTCATTTTGACCTTGCATAGGAGGAATTAATGTTCTGTTCTGCAGTCAGCCCCTGGCCTTGTTCTGTCTGATAATATTGAGCTTCTCCATCGTCTCTTTCCACAGATGTAGTCCATTTGATTCCTGTGTATTCCATCTGACGAGGTCCGTGTGTATAGTAGCTGTTTATGTTGTTGAAAAAAGGTATTTCCAATGAGTAGGTCATTGGTCTTGGAAAATCCTACCATGCGATCTCCAGCATCATTTCTATCACCAAGGCTGTATTTTCCAACTACCGATCCTTCTTGTTGCTAACTTTCGCATTCCAAGCACCAGTAATTATTAATGCATCTTGATTCCATGTTTGATCAATTTCAGACTGCAGAAATTGCTAAAAATCTTCAATTTCTTCACCTTTAGCATTAGTGCTTGGAGCATAAATTTGAATAATAGTTGTATTAACTAGTCTTCCTTGTAGGCATATGGATATTTTCCTATCACTGGCAGTGTTGTAGTTAGGATAGATCTTGAAACGTTCTTTTTGACAATGAATGTGATGTCGTTCCTCTTCAATTTGTCATTCTTGCATAGTAGACCATATGATCGTCCAATTCAAAATGGCCAATATCGGTCCATTTCAGCTCACTAATGCCTAGGATATTGATCTTCAAGTGTTCCGTTTCATTTTTGACAAACTCCAATTTTCCTGGATTAACACTTCATACATTCCATGCTCTGATTATTTTTTTAAAAGCAAAAAGGAAGTTTTATTCGGCATATATTCAAAAAGGCAGAAGTAGGGAAACGGACAAGCATGCTGCTAGGGCCATGTCTGCCCGAGGCCAAGGCCACGTTCTGATTATTAATGGATGTTTGCAGCTGTTTCTTCCCTTTTTAAAGTTGTACCACATCAACAAATGAAGGTCCCGAAAGCTTTATTCTATCCACATCATTAAGGTCAACTCTACTTTGAGGAACAGCCCTTCCACAATCATATTTTGCGTGCCTTCCAACCTGAGAGGCTCCTTTTCCAGCACTATATCAGACTATGTTCGCTGCTATTTGTAAGGTTTTTACTGGCCAGTTTTTTTACTAGATTGCCAAGTCCTTCTTCATAGTCTATCTTAGTTTGGAAGCTTCACTGACACCTGTCCATCAGGGGTGACCCTGCTGGTTTTTGAATATCAATGGCATAGCTTCCAGCATTACAACAACACACAAGCCACCACAGTATGATAAACTGACAGATGAGTGGTGGTAAAAATAATTACCCGAAACATTAAAACTCAAAGCGTTAGTCAATGTGCCAACCCAATCAGTCTGAGCAGTGTTTCCCTCTGTTCTTTCCTGATAATCATGCTTTCTGTGGGAGGTCAGGGAAAATAGATACTCCTGCAGCAGATAAAATGTTATTATTTCTGGCAGTTTAAGGATGGAGTATCCCCCTGGCCCTAACAGATGGAGCTCAGCCCCTGAAATGCTGCTTCAAACAGCTTGGAGACATGTAGACGCCTTGCTGCCACTGGGCTGAGGCATGGCTTGGGTGGGGGGTGGGGGGGTGGTAGTAGGAGTCTGCGAGGAGGAAGCCCATCAAATATCCAGCAAAGCTAGCTTTTAAGCCAGACCTACTGGAGGGAAGTAACCATCTCAAAGCCATCACCAATTCCTCCTAAAACAGGACTAAAACCAAACCAAACCAGTTGCCATCGAGTTGATTCTGACTCATGGTGACCCCATGTGTGTCAAAGTAGAACTGTACTCCATAGGGTTTTCATTGGCTGATTTTTCAGAAGTAGATCACCAGGGCTTTCTTCCGAGGTTCCTCTGGGTGAACTCAAACACCAACCTTTCTGTTAGCAGCTATGCACATTAACGGTTTGCAACACCCAGGGACTCTGAAACAGGACTAGCTATTAGGAAACTCTGTAGAATGCAGTAATGTCAACAGAGCACTGGTCCGAGGTCTGAAGGTACCAGTTCTACTCCTGGCTCTGGCACAGATGCATGTGGTCTGGGCTTGGAGATGAGAAGTGACTCATCCAAAGTTACATGTATTGGGGCAGAGCCAGATTCTCAGGTAGAACACAAGGTCTTAAAGTCCTCTACAGTTTTGGCATTTTATAAATCTGTGACCAGGTGATGGTAAAGATTTCCTTCATCAGGTTTGGTGCCCAGGCCCTGAAACTTCCCTTTCTGACTCATACAGAATTGGCACATGTTGTTCTTCCTACCCCCACCCTCCACTTGACATAGGTTCTTTCTTAGGAAGGACTAGTCACAGCTGGCTTCAGTGACGGCTGGCCAGTGTGGCAACACAGAGAGCCAAATCCATCTTGGCTCCAGGTAAGTGCTGGCTTCCTTTCTCTGCCAAGTCATACTTCGTAAGTGTTGCCACTGGGTCAAGGTTTTCAGCAGAAAGAGCAGTGGCAGGCCAGCTTGTTCTGATGCTGATCTACAGGGAAAGGCCTTTGAGCTGGGCAAGTGGTTGAAGCAAGGGCACTCAGGGGAGCCAGCCTTTCTTAGATGGGGTCTGAAAGTTGTATTGCAAACAAGTTCCCAGATGATGTTGATAATGCTGGTTTGGGGACCACACTTTAACAACCACTGACAGACAGTATCTGTGGTTAAATGGATATTTTGAAATGCCCCCCAGATGACTAGGGCCTCCCACGGCGTTCACCCCACTCACTGCAGTGGAAGCAGGTCTTGTGGAAACTCCTCCCATTGCATTGGATTTCTTCCGCGTGGTAGACTGTCTTTTCGCAGGCTCCGCATTTGGCTCCTCCGCCCCAGTTTGGCATCTTGCAGACTCTCTGATCAAGGTGAAGTCTAGTGAGAGACAAAGCAAATAACTCTAAATTCAGGCAGGCCTAGGAGACAGCCATTCCTAGTGCAGTGGAAAGGAAGCCTAACTTCAGGTCTGAAGATCAGAGTCCAGCCCCAGTGTGTTTGATGGTTCCATTCATTTATTTGGCAAACAGTTACTGGGTACAAGTTATGTGCATAAGTCCAGACACTTACTCAGATGGCTTTGAGCAAGTCAGTTACCACTTTGTGACTCTGTTTTTCCTCTTTTGGTAAATTTCAATAGCACCTGCCCCTATGTACCTACCGGGTTCTTGGAAGGAATGAATAAGCTAATTTTGTGTGTATCAGATTATATGCAAACATTAAGTACTATTATTTTTTTCCATCTAGTGTTTGAAAAATTTTCCCGTTAGAAGTGGGAATAACCTAGATAACCTTATTATCTAGCTCAGTACTTCTCAAATCACTTGGGATCTTATTAAAGTGGAGATTCTGATTTGGTGAATGTGGGCTGAGGCAGGAAATTCTCCATTTCTAATAAGCTCTAGGCAATACTGATGCTGCTAGTAGGGGACCACATTTGGGTAGCAAGACCTTGGATTATATTGCTGATAGGAATATGTAATATATAAAATTACATATTCAGATTTATTCTTAAAATTCATTAATTATTTTTTAAGAATATCATCATCCAGGCAATAGGATATATTGGACCTACACTAGATCCAGCCCAAAACCAACCAAACCAGTTGCTGTCGAGTCAACTCAGCAAGGCAACCCCATATGTGTCACAGTAGAACTGTGCTCCATAGGGTTTCAGTGGTTGGTTTTTTGAAAGTAGATTGCCAGGTCTTTCTTCCAAGTTTCCTCTGGGTATTCTCGAGCCTCCAACCTTTTGGTGTTAAGTGTTTGCACCACCCAGGGACTCCTGGAAACCTACCTTCCACTCTCAGCACTTCCCTCAATGTGCTGTGTGTATCACAATGAACTACATAGCTTCTTTTTACATCTATTTTCTCATCTGTAAAAGGGAAAGGGTTATTCTTTTCCTTACTGCTTCACAGTGTTGTTTGGAGGACCAAATGGCATGATGTGCAGGAAGGTGATTGACAGAGCTCAGAGGGCTTGGCAGGAGCCAGTTAGTGGGACTGACGGTCCTCCCACAGGCTTGGAGCACTTTCTGCTGTAAATAGCTGCTGATAGCCACAGCCCTGGCTGCCATCGTGTCCTCACTAGAGGATTATATGGAAAAGATACTAGCCAAGGAGGGGAGTTAAAAAAGTAATTTTCTCTTTCTTTCTGTGTCTCTGTGTGTTTTTAAGTTTGAATCTAAGTCTTCCATTTCCCCAGAGCAGAAGTGAAATAAACCATTGATACTCAGAAATTTCTGAAATTCTGCCAGCCCTAAATGGGCTGAATTTTCACTAGGATCCAGAATTTCCTAAATCCTGGTTTCTAAGAAGCCTGGAGTGTCATTTTGTCATTGACAGCAAGCACTATCAGGCCGTTCTGAGTGGCTGCTTCTGACCTTTCTCTTTCCCTTCTGGGAAGCCAGTCACCTTCTTATAATAGTTGGCGATTAATACTAAGCCCTTCTGGGTCAACTGGTCCGGATTGTGTCTCACAGCCTCATAACAAAGACAGTTTTGCTAAGAAACAGAAGGTAAATAGCAAACAGACCACTGAACCTGATACTAGGACTGAAGGGAACATTCCTGTCTAAATATCCCACCAAAGAGCTTTTCTCGCTTGTAAAAACAGTGTGGGGTTAGCCAGGAACATCCTACCCTTCCTCTCACAGCAGCCAGGCTCTTTTTTTTTTTTTTTTAATTCAGTAAAACTTTAAAAAATAACTATTTCAAAAAAGAGAAACATTTAGTGTCCCTCTTTCTCTGACTTAGCTGTTAAGTACAGTGGAAAGAGTAATGGATTTTGAATTAACACTTGGAATCAAGTCTGCCTTCATTCATTCATTCATTCACCATGCATTTATTACCTACCTATTATGTATCACTAAGGTCCCTCAGTGGTGCAAATTGTTTTCACTTGACTACTAACCTAAAGGTTGGTGGTTTGAACTTACCCAGCAACACTGCAGAAGAAAGGCCTGGAAAGCTGCTTCTGTAAAGATTATAGCCAAGAAAATCCTATGGAGCAGTTCTATTCTGTCACATGAGGTCTCCGTGAGTCGGAATTGACTCAATGGCAACAGGTTTTATTTATTTTTTATCATGTGTCAAGTACTGCAGTAGCTACTCAATGAGGGATCAAAGAGAGGAAAAATTAGAAAATGTAATTCATGGCCCCTGGCATTGAGAAGCCCACATTCTAGTGAGGAAGACAGACAGGACCCAAAGTACTTCATGCCAGATAAGAGTCTTGTGAGAATGGCTACAGAAACTCAGAGGGAATGGCCACCTGCGTTTAGACCAAGGCTGAAGGCAGGGAATTGTTGGATCACAAAAGAACATTCAAACAGGGTTTTGAAGTGTGCGTAGGAGTTTTCCAGATAGGGAAAACGAAGGACATTTAAGGCAGAGAAAAGAGCATACAGAAAGATGTGAAGGTCTTACTATCCCCTAAAAGGGCCTAAATTGTTTATTTTAGACTGCATTTAAACTATAGACTTTTAAGATTGAAATAGACTTTCAGGATTAACCAGCCCTCTCATTTACCAACAGGGTAAGACATGAAAAGTAAAGATTTGGGAATGTTTTCTTAGTCAATTTCTTTTTCTAAGAGACATCCTTCTCTGATTAAAGATGATACAGTCTCTGGGAAAGAATGGAATCACGTGATTTTGCTCATGTTCATTTTGATCTCGAGTTTCAACATAATATAAAATAGAGAAGAAATGTTATATATTTCATCCAGGAACATGATAGTGACACTTGTGAAATTAATGCTGTGGAAACTTTCAATGAAAATAACCCTTGGTCAAATTTCTCATTTTAAATTTTTAGTGGAAATTTCATTGGCATATGCTGAAAGTTAACGGGAGACAGAGATGCCTCTTAGGGAATACACACACACACACACACACACACACACACACACACACACATATTTTTTTTTTTTTCCAGCAATTGCATAGACATGATACTTTTCAGAATGAGGATAAGATTACAGATAGTACCTTCTTCACAAGGTAATGTATCCAAGCACAGATTGTTCTTAAGTGATCATAAATATCTGACATACATCAGGACTTGAAACCCAGAATAGAAGTCTTTAAACATTCTATTAAACAGGTGCTCAGTTCCATTTCTAAAGATGGGATTGTAGCTCTGGAGCTAAGGACAGAAGATGTCTCTGGTTTCTTCTTCCATCCTCCTAGGCCAAAAGGCAGAGGGTGTTGGAAAGGGTCCTGAATCGGGAGACTTGGGCTCTAATCTTGACTTTGCCATTTATTTCTGTGTGACCTTGAACTTGGGTGAAAAACGGCGATAATATTATCTCCTGCACTTTCCTCGTACGACCATTGTGAAGGTCGTGAAAATGTGGTGGAATTTAAAGCAGTACGGAGAAGCTATTCAAAGGCAAGGCATTCTTACACATTTTATTTCAGGTTATTCAAATAGCACCAACCTGCTAATTAAGTCGCTATGATCTGAAGCCACATTTAGGTCCTGGCTTATACACAACATAACCTTTTTGGCCTCCCACAGTGCTTTGGAATTCCTGTGTCTCAACACTCCCCTATCCAGTCCCAGAATGTGAGTTTGCCCTGTCCAAGGCACCAAGGGATGGACCATTTGTTTATCAGTGTTGCCTGGCACAGGCAGAGTCATTGAAGGTGGGAACCAAATATAGGCTGGCCTGTCACTCGGCCCTATTTGTCACTTGGATCACAATCTCCATCACACTACCTGGCACTACTCTCTGGGTTGGTCCCTGAGATGGGTGTGCTGTCACAGATGGGGTCGTGCATCAGGATTGAAATAGGGACAGACTGAGGTTATGAGAATGAAAGAGAATGCAGGGCTCCTGCTAACATCAGCTAGAGAGTGAGTAGACTTCAGACCTTTGGATACTCTACTCAGACCTCAGTGAGAGACTACCTTGTGCAGATTTTTTAACGAGTAATGCCACGGAAGGGGTTATACGGGGGATGCACCGACAGGGAGTGGGGTGGAACAAGCACTGGATCAGAGGCCAGCAGGCTGGAGTTCTAGTTTTGTCTTGCCTCTCAAAAACTGTGTAATCTGGGGAATCATTCAACTTCTCTGACCTTCAGCATCCCCTTTCTAAAATGGAGATAATGATCCCATCTATTTCACAGGGTTGCTGGGAGAATCGTATCAGTCCAAGTAAGTAAAATCACTTTGTATACTGTAGAATGTTATAAATTGTAAAAGCTAATAACTCCAAGTTGTCACAAATCAATCTGGCATTTTAGAAGAATAACCAAAATGTGTATACCGAGTATTTTCTTCCTATTCCTTCTTTCCTTCGTCCCTCCCTCCCTGCGTCCCTCCCTCCCTCCATCCCTCCCTCCTTCCTTCCTTCCTTCCTTCCATCTTTGTGTCTTTCACTACCAATTATAAAGCTGAAAGATAATACCTTAGGGCAAAAGTGGGTATGGTAGATTAAATGAACACATAGTGATTAAGTTTCTTCTTTGTAAAACAAAAAAAACAAACCTGTTGCCACGGAGTTTATTCCATCTCATAGAGACCCTATAGGACAGAGTAGAATTGCCTCATAGGATTTCCAAGGAGCAGCTGGTAGATTCGAACTGCTGACCTTTTGGTTAGCAGCCGTAGCTCTTAACCACCGTGTCACCAGGGCTGCTTCTTTGTCGGGCCCATTAAAGAACCGGGGAGGGAACCTTACGTTATGAATTTGAGCAGAGACCTCAATGACTTTCAGCTGAGTACTGGTTCACTTGATCACCCTACCAGACATCTGATTTCCCATAGTGAGTTAAATTGTCTACATGGGCTGAGGCAAGGATTTAGGTCATAGGAACACACATCTGCAATGGAAAGGATAATCATAATTATTACTAATAAAGTAACATTCTTATTGAAGCTAATGTGTCTGGAACATGGCCCATGGGCCAGGCACGGTGGTGTACCTCATTTAATTTTCACAGTAGTCCTTCAAGATAGGTATCATTATAAAATTTACTTTACAGATGGGAAATGAAGTCTTAGGAAAATCACATCACTTGCTCAAGGTCACATGACTAGTATATGTCACAAAGCTTGGAACTTAGGTCTCTCTGACTCTAAACTGTGTTCTTATATTAATATTAGCTACCATTTATTGTTCACTATGCATCTGTTGGAAACCCTGG